AAGAAGAAAAAGCATAATAACCACACCATAATACCCGGCTTTCCTCAAGCCTTGATCAGAATTGATTAATTTTTGTATCATTCGATTCGTCTTGACGAGACGAATCGAATGGTGCTAAAATTATTCGATTCGGATCACTGTATTACGAGAAATTGCCAAAAAACATGAGTGCGCCACAATACCCCCTGCGCCAGAATACCCGACCCTCCCTTATATTTTATTTTTTGCCTTTTAACTAAATTATTTAGAAACGTTTATTAATTGTTTGATTTGACACAACGATAATATTTTAATAATGTTGGTTACGTAATATAATATTTAAAAACTGATAATGTTTAACTTTGTACTATTCATGATTTTTAATTAACCCGTGTTTCAGAGTGTTGTTTAAAAAAAACCGAATACATAGTCGATGGTTAATTAGTACAAAGAAAAAAAGTCGTTGTTTCATTTAAAAAGAATTACATTTTTATTTAGAAACGTTTATAAGATTTTCAATTGTATTTTTAAACCAAGTATTTTAAGCAATAATATAAAGTATTTCTCCGAGATTTTCAAGTTTATGCATCATTATGATACATAATTTTCACATAATTTGCGTAAATTATTTGGCATAATAAAGTTTAGAAGTGAGTTAAACCATTTAACATTTAACACCGGAACTCCACATTATGACGCATTTGTGTAATTTTAGTATTTGACTAGACTTTGACTAGACTATGAAGTGCGTCATCTACTATTTATTTCTTTTTTGACATTTCTTATTGTAAAACTTTTCACGAGAAGATGGAGGTCTTATAATTAATTCTCAAACATGATTCTCAGACTATCTGCATATCCTGTCAAATATCCATTACATACAATATGATAATATCGGTAAATTGCTTATTTGGTTTAGTACGTACATAAGTTGAAAGTTCAGATATGCGGTGTTCTTAAAGCTTTGTGAGTCAACTTCACGCATAAAATAAACAAGGTTCAAAATTAAATTATTATTATACCGGTATGTGAATGTCTTTATATGTTTGACAATTGGTGACATCATATATCGCTATACATAAGCATTAATGTTTCATACATACTGACACAACTGTTGTAACTATTGAAAGGTATAAATTTGTACATTGACTAATTAACGAATACATTGGCGAATACATTGGCGAATATATTAGCGAAAAGGATTTCTAAAATTTCACAACAATAAAGATATACAACTATTATCGGAAGCATATAACGCACGTAGACGTATGCACGCTCGTAGACGTACGCACGTACGTCCGTATATTATACGTGACAAAATCAAATATATCAATTTAAAAAGATAATTACGTAACTAATTTATTAATCCTTTAACGTTAATGGGTAAATTAACATGTGAATAAGAAATTTATATAAAATCACATGATATAATAACGCGATATAATAACGCAATATAACGCAATATAATTAAGCATATCGATATCTAACAAAATTATTAATATTGAATGTAGATACTTTTATTAATGTAAGTAGTCGACTCACTCATCATCTTCAGTTGTTAAACTTTCAACAATGAGATTAGCAGACGGCCAAAGTCCACTTTCACTTTTAATAGTCTTGAATTTATCTGCCTGATGTACAGTTCGTGGAAATGAAACGAGCAAGAAATCAAAATTATGTTCATAATCTTTTGGTGGTTGAATATCAGCCGATGAAGATGTTTCATTTCGCATATGATATGTATCAACGAAAATGTAGACCATCTACAATAAATAAAAGTTGAATAATCATGCTTTGGAAATTTGCTAAATTATTTAAATTATTATTATTATTATTACCTCAACAGTATCATCAGCCCTAAACCTTCTTACTACTCTCTCACCATTTAATAGTCGGAAACTTAAACTTGTAACTTCTGTTTCATTTTGATTGGGTTCATTCGGTAATTGTGTTAAAGCCCATCTTCTCCATTTTTCTTTATTTGCTAACATCAATTTGCGTTCTTCTGCTTCCCTTCTTGCACGTTCACTTGCCAATTTTTTTGCTTCTTCTAACTCTCGTGCTTTACGTTCTTTTGCTTGATCAGCCTGCAACGATGCAAGATATGCGTTATCTTGTTGTTCACGAATCTGGCGTGCTGAATCTCGTTCAGCACGCTCATTACGAAACCGTTGTAGACCAGGACCGTAACGACTTATCAGAATTGTAAGTCGTGCTATAAGTACTTCAGGACTTAATGATCCTTTAATCGTAAAACGATTTTATTACAAGCAATACATTTATTAAAATAGTTGAAATTATTTTAACAATGAACGAGATAGGCGAGTATACCACCTAATCAATAATAATTTATGAAATAACTTTCAATAAAAATAAATAAATAAATTTACCTTCAATACGATCCACAACTGTCATTTTTGGACTAGTCCCATTGTTCCCATGAGGCGTTGCAAGAACAATCACAGCCACAAATGGGTATGTTGTCGCTTGCAATATACTATTTACTGTTTTAAAAAAAAATTTTTTTTGAATTAAAATTCTTATATTCTTATGCAAAGTGTGAAAGAAACATATAAATATATACATAAAATATTTGTATAAATAAATAAATATTTAAATATCTTTTATCTAACCTTGAAATGCTTCTGGATCTTTTATATTTCCGGCCCATACTAAAACATCATTTTCTCGAAGAAACGATATCAATAATTCTGAAGTTAATGTATCACTAAAAAAAAAAAATAATAATAATAATAATAATTTGTGAATGAGTAACGATGATATTATATAAATTTGGAAATTAAAAATTAAATTATATTAATTTGTACATGTACCGATTAAATTTTTTTGTATTATCATGTTCGTCAGCTTGCAGTATTATCATAGCAAAACGAAGATCATTTTTTGCACTTTCTAAGGCCTTAAATCATAACATTGGTATATAAAAAAAAAAGGAAAATGAAATATATATATATATATATATAGAAAGAGAAAATAAAAACAAAGAAAAATAGAGAGCGATTAAGAATGATCATAATTTTTCAAAAAAAAAAAGAACAAAAAATTGATCATACCTGAGAATAAGCCCCTTGAAAAAAGTCTGGATGCGTACGACCATATTTTTGTTCAAATTTTTCTATAAATTGTGCTGTTAATCGCGAATCCCTTATTCGATTAGCTTGAGGATCAGTAATCGCTGGTCGTGGAATAATAAAGTAGAAAAAAGCTTGCAAAATATTCCTGACTAGGCTAACGCAAGCGGTAAGTATGGCCACCAGAACCATTTCGAGTCACCTATAAAAATGAAAATTTAATGCAAACTCATAAAACGCCAAGGTATACTTTGTTCGAGATTTCTAAAACCACACAAAGGGGTGAAAACCTTTATGAAATGAGTAAATATGAAACGTTTAAATAAACGACTTAGGCGATAACTCACATAGATTTAAGGATAATGTATTAGTATCAGCCAGGTGCGCCGAATGTATTGAAAGAAATTATGCAAGTATAAATGATCACGATTCGCGTAAACCTGTGGAATTTCACCCTTAACAAAGCAGACTTTCAACAATTCTAATAAAGACATCCCAAATCTTATTAATAGAATGGATTCTATCACATGTGACTGTTGCATATTTTTCATGCTAAAATATAAGGCTAAAATATAAGGGTAGTCATTGTGTATAATTGATGATCTGATTTGTTTACCGAAACGGACATGTGCGCGACTGCGAAGGTAGCTTTGTGTACAGTCAACTTGGGTAATTATGCATGGAAATTAGTAGTACAAAATAACAATAAGTTTAATAACAACGTATTTAAAATCGATAACGATGATAATAGATACAATCTACGACACAGTCTAATCTAGAGAAAGGTTCGACTTTTCTTCTTTTGCAAGACAACTCTATTTAATCATTTTAATTACAAGGTAAGCTGTCCTAAAACCCTTATTAAGTTTTTTATGTTTAAAGTTATTCACTCTCATCCTAATATGTTGACATTAGATGGTTATTCCTGACCACACCAAGATTGCGCCTGTTTCGTCACTTATTAATAAATTTGAACAAAATCCGGACGAAGCGTCTAGTCAAACAAATACTCGCGCTCGTAGTCCTATTCCTGGAAAGATAGTTCATAGTTATGAAGTAAAAGCTGGTGAAGAGACTAGCATTACGACTACGACCGAGAAAAAAACTGAACTAAAAGAAGAACCAACTGTTCAAACGAGTGAAACTGTTGTTGTAACTGAAACTCTTAATGGTGAAGATAAAGTTAACGAAGAAAAGAGTCAAGAGGCGGAAGTAACTGCTATTATAGAAGATAAACAAGAATTAAAAGAAGAAAATCCGGAGGAACAGCATAATGTAGAAACTACTGTAACGGATAATGATGCCAAGGCTGCTACGGATAATGATGCCAAGGCTGCTACGGATAATGATGTTAAAGCTGCTACACCTACTACTACAACAAATTCGGCTTCTGAAAAGAATGCAAAGAAAGTTGGTACGACCACGAAAAAGACTGTCCATCCTTCTAAAACTTCTATTCCTGTTAAACCTGCAACAACAAAGAAAACGACATCATCAGTTCATACTTCACCCGATAAAAGTAAATTATCAACCGGTAATAGTTCATCAGCTGTTCGTTCCAAGTCCCCAGGAAGAACAACAACCACTTCGGCCATCAAGCCTAAATCTTCCACCACAACTCCCAAACAATCAATAAAACCTACACAAACTAAAAATCCTACCACTGAGAAACCTAAAACAACTTCAACTGTAGCAAAAACATCAACGGTCACAAAACCTGCTGCTAAGACTGCTGTTACTAAATCTGCTCCTGCCACTGTCAATACTTCGGCTGCTGAGAAAAAAACATCTGTTACTAAAGTTCCTGGAAGAGTTTCAAAGACTACTGCAGCTTCTAAAACGACTAAAAAACCACCAACTACAGATAAGAAAGTTACTAATGAAAAAAAAGCAGTTTCTTCTAGCAATTCAGAAAAAAAAGATCAGAAAGAAGAGAATAAAAAGGAGGAGGAAACACTTATGCACACAGAAGAAACTATTCATACAGAAGAAACTACTCAATCAGAAGAAACTATTCAATCAGAAGGTGCTACTCAATCAGAGAGTGCTACTCAATCAGATGGTGTTACTCAATCAGAAGAAGTTGTACAATCAGAGGAAATTGATGTTAAATCCGAATGTTCAAAAGACAATGAGATCATCGAAGAACATGAATCAAACGAACAATATGAAGAAGAAGTTCACGAAAAAGAATCTTCAGAAAAGGAGTTCCATGAAAATCAGGATGAAATTTCAGTTACTGAGTCTCATGAAGAAGTTTTGGTTACCGAGTCAGAAGACAAATCTCACGTTGAAGCTATAGAAGAGACTCATGAAAATGATGTTAAAGTTCCCGAAGAATATCCTCCTAAAGATCATGAAGAGTCGGTAGCTGAAACTGACCAAGTTACTGAATCTCAAACGGAACCTATTGAGAAATATAACGATTTAACGACCACAGAATCTCTTTCGCAACCAAAACATCTAGATGATATTGTTGAAGTCACGACTGTTGAAACTGTTGAAATGCAGAAAGAACCATAATTTATCTTTCATGATTATATAACGCCATATGGCAAATTGAAATAATTGTAACTGAAAAAGCTTAGACAAACTCGAGCGAATTTGTATGTAGATATCATATTTCGGGTTTATTTGTTATTAAGAAAAAAAAAAATCCCAAAAAAAAAAAAATTCATGGGCTGGAATCATTTTACTTCAATTATCTGTAGTTAGCAAACATATTTCGTTATATTTTATTTATGCTTATGTATTTCGATATTAGATATTGTTCGTACAAATGGTGTTATTAAAATGTGATATACAATAAGGTTTATTGCTATTTATCAATGACATATTATTATTTGTTTTTTTTTTAAAAAAAAAAAATAAAAATAAAAATAAAAAAATGAATTTGTAGAAGTGTAAAAATGTTAATCCCTATTGTAACACAGATTGATTGACAATTTCGAAAAAAGTTACATAGATATAAAAAGACATCGTATAAAAAAATATCTTATTAAAAGTTATTCTCGCTCACAATGGGTGGATCTCAAAGTTCTGCTAAAGGATATGGTTATCACATATTAAGGGTAAATGATCTCATTGCTAAAGGTTATTCCGTTCATCAAAATTTCTCGATCCCAATTTCCAGAAAAATTATTAGGTTAAAGAAAATTCACCTGCTCATACGGCTGGAATAGAACCATTTTTTGATTATATAGTTGGAATTAACGGAATACCACTGGTACATTAAAAACAATACACACTTATTTGGTTTCAGTTCCTTGATTCACCTTTTGTTAATTTACATTTGAATAATCGCGTACATTCCTTTTCATTTTGTCTCTAGGACACAGAAACTTCTGTACTTCAAGAACAATTATTGTTTAATGTCGATAAGGAAGTTATATTATTAGTATATTCTACCAAAGAACAAGAGTATAGAGGTTTTTATTCTCATTTTATTTCCTAATTATTCTTAATCAATGTATTAATCAATGTTAAAATCATTCTAAAAAATATTTAATCAAATAATTCATTTTAGAGGTTTCACTGATTCCAAATAAAACTTGGACAACTAACTCAGAAGATGGTTTAATTGGTAATAAAAATTTTCCTGAATAATAAAAAAATATTATACGTTTATGATAATTTTAAGTTGTTTAATATTATAATTTTAATAATAATAATTTTTATAATAGGATGTAGCATTCGATATTGCTCTTATGAGGTAATAATATCTTTAAATCTCAATTCGACACTTTATTATTTATCTATTAATGTATATATATGTATACATATATTCGATTAGAGTATCAATGAACATGTCTGGCATATTTTAGACATTGCTCCTGATAGTCCTGCCGAGATGGCCGGTTTGGTTAGTTTATAATTTGTATCATTATTTTTATCATTATTTGTATCTTTAACTTTTCAATTAAAAAAAAAATTTTTTTTTTTTTCTTAAATTTACGCAGGTTCCTTCAACTGATTATGTTATCGGAACACCACATGAAGCATTACGTAACGAAAATGATTTTTATGAATTGATTGAGGCTCATTTAGGAAAACCACTCCGCCTTTACGTTTATAATGCTGATTTTGACGTTTGCCGAGAGGTTTGTAGAATTTAGGTGTGTGAAATTTATACGACTTTTGACATAAACCTTACATAATATTATATATATATTTTTTAAAGGTTATCATTGTTCCTAATCACGAATGGGGAGGAGAAGGATCTTTGGGATGTGGCGTAGGTTATGGGTATGTTTAGTTATTGAGAAATTTTAAAATTTCTTAAAATTTATTAACAAAATTTTATCCATAATCTTTAGTTATTTACATAGAATTCCAAAAACCAATAAATTCAAGTCTCGTGAACGAAATTTTGAATTATCATGGAACTCTTCTACATATCCACTTCTTCATCCTTCGTCCGAACAGCCTTCAAGTACTATTGCTTCTGCTTTCAATCTTGATGAAGAAGCTTCTGAGAATGAAAAACATACATATTCAAACCAACCTGACGATTCAACTCCTGCTGAGGTAGTTAAAGAAGTTAGAAATCAAAGTGATGGTTATAATGAACAAATAATAAACGATGATCAAGTTTCAATTAAATCGATTTCAAATGGTGATGAAAGTGAGAGTATAGTCATTGTTGAAAAGGAAAATTAAAATTAATTGTTCCACATAAATATCATAGATCTAGTAAAAAAAAAAAAAAAAAAAAAAAAAGATATTGAAATTATAATTTTATTGTGATAACTTTTTAATCCGATTTTACAAATAATTATTGTAATTTACAAATAATGATGTAAATAATATTAGGCTCTATAATTCCAATTTCTTTAGAGTTAGAATCTTGGTTTTTAATTTGTCTTTGTTCTTTACGCATAATCAATCAAAAATTATTATGCCCTTTTTTTAACATAAATAATTCATTCATATTGCGTTTTAACATCAGATCATGATTCAAGATTGATAAACAAAAGAATATATTAATATGGGGTGATATAAATACAATGGCCCCAATAAAAAAGAAAATAAAATTCCAAAAGACAAACTATTGCGTGTATACAGTTTGCATATTATAACAAAATGAAATGAGCCCTATAAAAGAAGAAAAGAAAAATCATTTTTATTTTTTTAATCACAAAATAACTCTGAATTAATTATAATAGCATTTGTGACTTACATTTATATTTATTCTTCCCATTCCCAAACTTCTTTAATCCATTGTTGTAAAGGAACTTCTCTACTTAATGATTTTTGAATAAATGGA